GGGGGCGCCAGCCGGTCCCAGCGAGAGCTTAGCGCTCAGAGCTCCTATTCCTATTTATTCCCAAGGCTGGAGCCCCCAGCCGGTCAGTGAGGCTGCAGCTCCTCCTGTCCCCGGCACTCCGCCGCCTGGTCTCCGGGGAGGGGCAGGACTTGGGAGAAAGGGGCTGCAGGGGCAGAAGCTTCCCTGTCCTCCCGACTACTTTAACTACTGCGGACTTTCTCCCTGCTGAGATCACCCTCCCCTAGGGCTCCCGCCACTGCCGCACCCCTTCTCTTTGTCTGTCCCTCCCTCCCTCCTCCCCGCCCTTCCTCCTTTCCTCCTGCACTCCTCCCTCCTTTCCCGTTTCTCTCCTTTTCCATCAAGCCTCTTTCTAGTGTCTCCCTCGAGTGGTGCTTAAGAGAGCGCTGTGCTGAGACAGTGGAAGACTACAGGGCCTGAGGACAACAGGGGCTCTTGTTCACACCTTCTCTGAATTAAAGGTGGAGTGTTACACCTTCTCAGGCAGGGTGTGACCTGAGGAGCATATTCATAGCCTGGCTTAAGTGTTGGAGGTGGGCTGGGGAAGCCAAGGGACTCCAGCTGGGCTTCTCTGGCCTAAACTGCACAAAACAGCCAAGTGGTCCAGAAGACATCCGAAAACCATTTCTTTCCTTTTTGTTTAAGTTTTGCAGGATAGCCACAGAGAGAAGGCAAGTGAGAAAGCACCCCCCAGAGGAGATGGCCACGCTGGAATCCCTTCTACTCCACTTCCCTCTTGGGATTCTGGGTGCATGCACACATGCACCCATCGTGTTTCAAGCCACTGGGTCCGGAATTCGAACTGTAGTTAGCCATGTGGCAGTCTAGTACCATAACCACCACATCACTGAAAGTCATGTCTTCCAGAGGGTAGTCAGAGCCAGGGTGGTGTGAAGTTCAGGAAGTCAGGGAGAAGCCACAGAAAGGGGTGCACTCTCCCGAGCACCCTGCTGCATCAGGCACTTTGTGTGCCTGTGGCCTCTGGGCCATTCTACCAAATAAGCCAAGCCGTCCAGCACAGGGAGGCTGGCTAGGGTGTCCACATCACTTCCCCTCCTTTGGGACTCTGCTAACAGACTAAAGTTATTGCTGCTCAATGTCAGGAACATATTTATAGAATCCCAGTCATGGGATCTGGGAACTGGAAAGGAGGAAGGAGTGGAATGGTCTTGCTCAATTCTTCCCAGCCCTCTCTGCTCATTGGAATTACTAGGGAGCTTTTAAGCTTAAACAAAATACATTTGAGTCTTGGAACCCTGTTAATGTTTCACATATTTAAAGAGAAGGAGAGTGAAAATAAATAGAATCATCAAGGGTAGAATGTAAACAAAAACAGATGATCTAACCTGTATTTCAAATAACACGGCCACAGAGAAAGTAACTCTGAATGTACTGTTCAGACTCCAGGTTCTCAGGCCAAAGACAAATTCTAGCTCAGCAGTTGTCAAACATTTTGGTCTCAGGACTTACGGTTATTATGTGTTAGTATAAATAGCATGATGTTTTATGACAAACAACTATTTTTTCCCCAAATACAAAGCCTTAGTGAGAGAAATGGCATGATTCTTCATGCAAACGTCTCTTGTCTAGCTTAATAGGAGACAGCTGGACTCTTAGATCTGCTTCTGCACTCAATCTGATAAGATATGTTGTGTTAGTTGAAGTCTATGAAGAAAATACAGATTTGCATGAATATGTAGTTGGGAAAGGGAGGTATATTTTAGCAGTGTCATGGCATGCAGCCTCTGAAAACTCCACTATACACTTGTCAGAGAATGGGAGTAAAAGGGTACTCTTATGAAAATGTCTTTGACCTCACCCACCCCTTGGAAGGATCTCAGAGAGCTCCAAGGGTCTCCAGGGCACCCTTGGATAATTGCCATTCCAAACAAATGCTGACCTCTAATTGGTAGGTTTTGTTCCCATGGAGCCATGGGCTAGCAGTTCTACAACTGCTCAGTGTGTTCTAGGACTTCACTGGAGATGCCTGTGGGTCACAAGAGCCAAGCGCCCCGCTGCTGATGCTAAGGGCAGACTAGGGCGAGCCCTGTGATGCTGGACAGGAACTGGAGGTATCAGTGTGAGCTCGTGCTTGTCAGTTAGATGGGTGGAGATGTGTGTGGGAGGCTGCACGCCATATCCGTCCTAGTTGTGTCAGCTGAGAAGGCCTGTGAGCAGTGACACCTATAGCAGTGAGCACGACTGGCCCCAGACCTTGGTTTCTAAACACCAGTCTCCACTAAAAGGAACCTGGGTTTGAGAAGAGGAGATGGGTTGGAATATTTTCTCATGTTAGAAAGCCGGAAGATGTTGCAGCAGCCTCAGGGCTCACCTCATTATACAGGAGGCTAAAGATGGTCGAAACACAGTCTCAGGGGCATCAGGGGGCTCCTCTCCCAACCCTCTTCCCTCATACTCATCTCAAAAATGCTCTTCAGATTGGGGCTCCAGTTGCAACGTGTGGGGACAGAGGCCTGGAAGGCCCCCAGACAGGGCTGTAGCTTATTTGCCCAGAGCTGCCTCAGGGGTGGGCCAGGCTGTTTTCAAGGGGAAACAGATGGGAGAGTGGCCAGGGAAGACCTTTTTTGATGGTGAGAGTGCCCCCTCCAAAGTGTGCCTAAGAACGTTCTTGGGACATAATGGGACATGAGAGGGCTCTTTGCCATGCTCAAAAAGAGGCACAGGGGAGGTCTGGAACAGATCAACTTAATTCTGGGGACCTGGGGACCCTTATACTGCGCTAGACTAGAGTCTCAGGAGGAGCTGTTTCTGCACTGAGGCAGGCAGCCCCAAACAGTAGGGAGTCAGTGGCCTGCCCTCATGCTTTCACAGACTTGCTGAGAACTCCATGGCTCCTAGACACCTCTTCTGCAAGCCAAAATGATGTCTCTTACCTCCCATTGAGGATCACATGAAGGAGTACTTCGCAAGGTGTCCCTCCCAGAAACAGGAGGATTCCTCTGTGCATACAGTCAGGAGCACCCTCCATGTACACATGATAAATTCATCCAATCATTAAATTCGTGTTGAGCACCTCCTGCATCTCAGAAATGGGGACACAAAAGTGACCCCAGTAGACTCAAGGTTGTGAGGGACTTGCAGTGGAGAAGACTTGCATTTTGCAGACTGGATTCTGTTATTTGATAAGTGTTTGGTTAACTGGTTGTCACTAGTGCCAGGGTTTTCTGAGGTCATCCCATAGCCACTCACCTGAGGTTTCCAAGAGATCATGGCTTAGGGCTGTGGTGAGCGGTCCTGTCTATGCCCAGTGCCCAGCCTGTCTGCCCTGCCCTCTCTAATGCCTAGAGGGCATTATTCCTGCCCTTATCCCTGACCACCTCCCCTGAGTGCCTGGTGTCACTCAGGTTAGTGAGGAGTATAGTAGTAGTGATTCAACTCCAAGGGTGTTGGCAAATTTTAAAAGGTCTCTGTTAACCCAGATGAGTTGCTAATGGTGGCCTTTTGGGCAACCACAAGGTGCTATAAAGTTCCCTTCCCAATTTGGAATGGGAGGTTGGGGTTTGTGCTCGAGGTGGATCTGAGCGGGTGGTGGGGCTTTCAGGAGTCTGTCTGTATGTGAGCTACTGTCAGTGAACGCTTTCTTCCCTCCCTTTCTGCCTAGTCATGCTCTGTTCCCCCTCAAGCTGCAGCCCCAGCACAGCTCCAGAACCCGGGATGGCTTTGAGGGGTGTTGAAGTCCCAGTTAGAAAGGAAAGAGCCTGTAGGTCTGACATCACAACAACTTTTCTGGACTTGCCCAGGGCCCCTCCCTGAGTCCCCCAGGCCACATCTGCTGACTCAGACTTGGAATCCCGGCCCTGGAACAGGCCATCTCTCCAGAACACACAGACTCCAAGCATCAGTACCTGGCTCCCCAGGAGGGGATCCTGACATACTTTTAAAATCACCCACAGATACCCACAAGTGCCAGCCCACATAGACACATAGGTACCTGCTCGTTTGTTCACAGACATGTACCAAAGGCCTTGTTCCTTTGGAACACCATAGTCTCTGCACACACGTTTTCTAAAGGTGCTTCAATTCTTGAGGCTTAATATTCCCAAGGAATGGGACTGAACAGTCCAGTGGCTCTGCTATTCCCCCTTTGATCTCCTTTTCAGCACCTGGCTGACCCCCTCCCAGTGCTGGGACACTCCCAGCTTGCTCATCTCCAGGGCCTTTGCACTTTTCCTAAGCCAACTTCCTGTGATACCGGTCTAGGGAGAACACCCATGGATCACCCAACCCAGCACTTGGTCATGCTCTGTCACACATGGTTTTGTTTTCAATCAAGCCTCCTGTAGAGACATCCGCTCTTAACTAGTGGAAAGAGAAAGGGACTTGCTACGGGGTGTTATATGGTTTACCGAATTACTTAAAGGGTTGGACTAGAAGCTCTGACTGAGCTTCTAAGGTTGGCTTCCAAGCTGTACTGCAGGACTGGGATGCTGGGGAAGTGGGGATGGGGGGTGTTGGTCCCACCTGCTCAGGAACTCACCATCTAGTAGCAAATAGATGCTTCACTTCCTCCCTCCCACTTATTTCCATTCCGAATTCAGGTTTCTCAGCACTTCTGATCAGCAAAGCCTGATTTGTATCAGAGAATCCGGAGTACTGGGTCCTGCTTTGCACCTAGAAGGAAAGTGGAAAAGGATGCTGAGCAAACCAAGCCACAGCACCCACTCTCACCAACTCTTCTCTAATTCATTTAGCTAATGCTGACTGGAGACCTTATGTGCACAACTCTGGAAGCACAACCACTGCAACCATACTGACTTGTGGGAGTGACCAGTGAGTGCAATGCCTTCACCAAGTATCACAGCAACTCCTCCAGTCCCACCTTACAAGGAGGCTGGGTGAATGCTGGTGAGCCACAGATCTGGGAGGAGAGTCTGGCACTGCCTCTAGATGTAAATGTAGTTTTCTCTCCTGCAACAGTGCACTTCCCTGAAATGCGGGGCTGTCCATTTTCAGTAGTATTAGCCACTTGATTTTCACCCAAATCAAGATGTCAAAACCTTAGCAAAAATAGCAAAGTAAGAACCTTAGAGAACTCTCTCCTTTCTCAAAGCAATGAGAAAACTGGCAAAAATATCAGTATAAACTTTTCAGTATTCTGGAAATTAACCAGAGACTTGCAGTAGTCTATAGGTACTAATTTTATTTTATCAAGAAAATAGGCTGAATCTTGGTAAGAACAGTAAACTTCGTGTGCTGTAACTTGACCTATACACACCTCCCACTTTCCACTCTCCATCTCTGTCATAGCCTTGAAAATTAACAACCCACGTTCATGGTAAAAACTAATAGCGTGGTGGCTATTTGAACTGAACAAAATGAGGCCAACTCTCCTTCAAAGCCTCTTTTCCTCATTACTTGACCTATCTGGTAGTTCCAGAACTAATTTGCAAGGCTGTATGTATTTGACTTGATTCAGAGCTCACCAGTGTGAAAAGTCTTTTCTCCAGGAGCAATTGTTGAAAACAATTATAGGCAAATTAATGCGCTTTGTTGTTGCCCAGGGTGGTGGTTAATAGTTGGGGCAAGTAAAATACTAACCCAAGAACTTAAAGTAAATGCTGAGAAATGGGATTTGTTTGGGGGGCTTTGAAAGATTCCAACATATTCCTGGGAACCTAGAAGGCCACATACATTCTCAGTGCTGTGTGTATGCTCAGGAAAGACCTAAGATGGCACTAAGCTTTCCTCTCCATTTTACCTTGAGGCTCTGCACAGGTAGGAAGTGAGGACTAACGAAGGGTTGTTAATTACCTTGGCTGAGTATCGAAAACATGCCACCACACACATAGAGTCCCCAAGAAAGAGTGGGAGACCACTGGCATTTAAGAAATTTTCTGTTTAGTCATTGACTGAGTTAATTCAGAAAAGTCACTAAACAAACTATAATAAGCAGCAATAGCAACAGGTCCTGAAGAAAGAATAGAGTATGATTTCTAAAGTTGCCACATTATATTATTTAAAATGCTCAGTTTTGTTCTTATCTTCTAGATAACTGGCGTCTGTGCTCTGATCATTCATTCCTGCAATTCCTGCTTTTGATCACAGAGGTGCAAAAGGCAGGTGGCAACTGTTGCACATCTCCCATGTGGCAATCCCCTCCCCATCCCACCAAAGTGACTGCCAAGGACTTTAAAGGTCCAGAACTCCCCCTTTTGTTTTCCTTTTTCCCTTTTCAGGAGTCAGACATTAAAGACTAGGACATTCTTGTACATCCCTATAAAGTTCGTACTGAGTGTCTACAATAGAGGTTGAGAGACTTGAAGACGTGATGGTGGAGAGGATGGGTGTAAATGCTAGCGTCTGTATGGGGTGAGAGTGGGTGGTAGAGGGTGGATGTGAGGTACAAGGGGAGGAAACATTTGACAGATAGAAAAAATGTTCAAAGGAAAAAGAAAAATAGAACATGTACGTTATGAAATTTAAATAACAGATGTCACCATAGCATACAGAGGTGTTTAAGTTTACATATACTAGTAGCTCAGCCTTACAAATACCCACTCACTAACTTTGCAGAATGGCTAGCAGAGAAAGCTCATTTGTTACTACATGTATATTGCTCTTGCTTATGTGTGTTAATGAAATTTACATGGGCTAATAATGCAAATCAGGTAGTAAAAAATAATTATTTTTAATGCACTAGTATTGCTATCAACTTTATGCTTGCTCATGGAATACATGGAGCTATAATTCACATGAACTATTCCAATTTCCTTTCAGCTGATAATTTTTCTCTCCTCACCCAACTTTTTACCACAAGTGATAACACCGACTACCTAAATTTCATCTTATTATATTGTCATTTCAGGTGGGAAATAACAAGCAGAGAAATGAACAAAAGTCTAGAAGCAGGCAAGGGATAAGAAAGAATCCAATGGCCTGGCCAATCCACCAAATAAGTCCAAATTTATTTGGACAATACATTTGGCTTTCCATCATTGACTAGGGGAGGGGCATGGAAGTTAGAGGGGAGGTGGTTGGTGGTTGGAGACAAGGGAAAATCTGAAACACAATTGTTTTCAGAAAACAAAACAAAAAACCAATACATTTAAAG